TAATAAATCAGTTTTTTAATACATTGTCTGATAAAGTTCGTGAATAAATTACGTATCAAGTCATTTATTTTTGTGATAACTTTACGACTTATTGTCGTCTTTCCCTTGACTTGTATCAAATTTCGTAGCTGAAAATAGCAACCCTTAAAAAAGCAAACAAAAACAGTATAAAAAGTTTGAAAAAAATGTTCAAGACTTTTTTTTTTTTTGTTACAAGAATTTTTTTTTTTTTAATTTTTTTTTTTATTATCAAAATATTTTTCTTACATCCATTTTCAATTTTATACTTTGTTTAGACTTCGTTTCCTTTTTTTAATATTATTTTTTATTCTCTGAGAATAATTTCTGCTTTCACACGAAATATTGCCGCGGCCACGTTTTCTGAAAAACTTATTCTATGCGTGGACAAACAAGGCGTGCGACCGCACGCCTTTCTGAGAAAGCCTGATATATATATATATATATATATATATATATATATATATATATATATATATATATATATATATATATATATATATATATATATATATATATATGTATATATATATATATGTATATATATATCAGGCTTTCCCAGGAAAGGCGTGTGGTCGCACGCCTTGTTTGTCCACGCATAGAATTAATTTTTCTGACTAACTGACCACGTTTTATCATTATGCGTTTCAAGAATTCGCGCCAAAACATAGCTAAACGAAAATACTGCAAAAATGCAAGCAACCTTAAAGTAAATAACAGAAATCTGTTTGTGCTTTAAAATTTAAAAAAGTTTACCTATATTTTATTTATTTATTTTTTTAAGGGTGGTAGTTATTTTAGCTATGAAAAATCAAATCAATAAGAAAAATCAAATCAAAAAGAAAAAGAATAATGTTTAAAGAAAATAAAAAAACCTTTTAATGTAAAATTTGTTTATCAATGACTTTTATCAGTCAGTAATACTTTAAAATTTACAATAGAACTATAAACAATTTTTAAATGTTTCGTAAATACATTTAAATGTTTAAATGTATTGATTTAAATGTTTGAATGTATTGATACGCAAGAAAACACGAAAACGATTGCTATTTATTAGTAAAATATATTTGTTTTTTTTTTAAATGAAAAAAAATTTTATTGTCAAACGATTGAGTTGCTTATTTTGCAATCATTAATTGACATTGTGAACGAGTGTTAATATATAATAATGTCCCGAAGGAACTGTTTTCGTAACAATGACAACAGAAGCAATGCAATTATTTTTTTAACTTCTTTCGTAATAACAAAATTATGCAATTGAATAATTTCAACGTAATAAAAGGCGAGCATTGACTAAGTATAATCAGTTTAAAATAAGTCGAGAAAGAACTTTTTTCACATTAAAATTTTGTTATGTTTAAAATTTCAAACAATATATTTAATAATTAAAACAGCAATTTATTTTCTTGCCTAAGTATTGGGGAATAAAGTCATCGCCTTTGCATAAACCTTTGTAAAAACTAAATTAAATGAAAAAGTTTAACCAAATTTGTCTGGCGTAAATAATGAATCAGTTTTTTAATACATTGTCTGATAAAGTTCGTGAATAAATTACGTATCAAGTCTTTATTTTCGTGAAAACTTTATGACTTATCGTCGTCTTTTCCTTGACTTGTATCAAATTTCGCAGCTGAAAATAGCAACCCTTAGACTTCGTTTCTTTTTTTTTTAATTATTTTTTATTCTCTGTGGATAATTTCCGCTTTCCCACGAAATAATGCCGCGGTCACGTTTTCTGAAAAATTTCTTATATGCGTGGACAAACAAGGCATGCGACCGCACGCCTTTCCTGGAAAAGCCTGATATATATATATATATATATATATATATATATATATATATATATATATATATATATATATATATATATATATATATATATATATATATATATATATATCAACCCTAATTAGGAAAAATGAGATTAGCAATATATTACTGACCTCAAAAAAAATATTTATTTGGTTGCGTGTACAGACCAAGCAAACAAGTAGATATGCTTGAAATGAGTCAAATATTCACAGAAGCTTGTAAATTAGTAGAAAAAAATATTTTTACAGATTAGTTAATTATCGGTGATTTTAATTTTCCAAATGTAAAATGGTTGAATGGATACGTTAGTGATATTTTAGTAGGTCAAGATTGTGTTGAAAATGAATTTATTAATATTATATATGAATGTTTTTTGTACCAACACGTATCAATCCCAACCTTTCAAAATGCACAATATGTTACAAAAAATACCTTGGATCTTATTTTTACAAAAAACAATGAACGAGCCTATCAACTTGAGTCTAACCCAGTTCTAGGAAATATAAATCATGGACATTTGGTTTTAACTTGTAAATTTAACCTTGATGCTATTGCAATGGAAAATTATCCAAAGTTTAAATTTGATTACAGTAGGTGTGACTATCCACAAAAAAGCCTAAGTATTGATAAAATTGACTGGAATTATTTATTTGATGGGTTATCATTTCAATTTATGTATGATCTGTTTATTGAAAAAATTAGCCAATCATGTAATGCTTTTATTCCAATAATTGACGTAAATTCAAGAAAGAAAAGAAAAAATAACCCATGGTTTACTGATGAAGTAAGTCTTCTAGTACGTTTAAAACAAAATTTGCGTTATCAAAATTTATCATCGAACTGGAAAGATTTGAATAAAGTAATGAAATATAAAAATATTTGCAAAACTGTGAAAATAGAATCGCGTAAAGCAAGATGTTACTATGAAAATGATCTTGTTGAAAAATCAAAGGTAAATCCGAAACTGCTATATAAATATGTAAATAGTCAAAAAACGATTAAACAAGTAATTAAAGCATTGAGAGATCAAACTGGTTGCGTAACAAATGATCAAAATGAAATTGTTGAAATTTTAAATAAACAATTTCTAGGTGTGTTTACCATCGAAAATTCTACAGAAGAGCTTCCACAAATTGAGAATTTAGGGGATATTATTATTGATGCAATTAATATAGATTATTTTGATGTTTTAATTAGATTGAAAAATGTTGATATCAATAAAACATATGGAGTTGATTCTATACATCCGTTGATTTTGAAAAATTGTGCGGATTCTGTAGCATTGCCATTAACTTAAATTTGTATAGAATCTTTTGTTAAAAGTGAACTACCAACTCAATGGAGAGCAGCAAATATTACACCACTATTCAAAAAGGGAGATAAATTAGAAGCTGCAAATTATAGACCAGTGTCATTGAGGTCAATTACTTGTAAAATTATGGAAGGTATAGTCAGAGACTGCATACAATCATATTTAATGAAATATAAATTAATATCGAAGTCACAACATGGTTTTGTTAAAGGGAAGTCTTGTACAACAAACTTATTAGAGGTGTTGGATTATATTTCATTTAATTTATCAATTGGTATTTCGGTAGATGAAGCACTTTTAAATTTTGTTAAAGCTTTTGATTTTGTTGCTCACAAAAGACTATTGATTAAACTATCTTCATATGGAATTAGTGGTTTATTATTAAAATGGATTGAAGCTTTTTTAAAAAACAGAATCCAAAGAGTTATTCAAGGTGATGTTGTTTCTTCATGGCACAAAGTCTTCAGTGGTGTTCCGCAAGGACCCGTAATAGGGCCCTTATTATTTGTTATTTTTATAAATGATATATCAAATATATTTAAAATTAAGTCAGTATTGTATGCAGATGATACAAAAATTCTTTCAAAAGTGAATGAAATAAATGTGGAAAATAGCTTGCAAAAAGATCTGGATAGTGCAGAGGAATGGTCTAAAAAGTGGCTCTTGGGTTTTAATTCTAGTAAATGTGTTATAATGCATTATAGTACAAATAATCCGCAATTGAAATATACTTTAAATGGTGTTGAACTGAAAGATTCTGAATGCGAGAGAGATTTAGGTGTATATTTTTCAACAAACTTGAAATGGAAAAAACAAATTATATCAAGTACTTCTAAAGAAAATTCAATGATGGGTATGTTAAACATGACATTTTCACGAATTGATGCAAAATTGGTTAAAACATTGTGTAAGGTATTTATTAGACCTCTTATTGAGTTTGCAGTACCTGTTTGGTCACCTTATTTTAAAGGAGACATATCACTTTTGGAAAAAGTTCAACACAGGATGACTAGATTAGTTCCATCATTAAGGAAAATTAATTATGAAAAGAGATTGGAAATATTAGATATATCTACATTAAAAACAAGAAGGGAACATGGGGATTTAATACAAGTGTTTAAATTACTTAACAGATTTGAGGAAATTGATTTAATTAATGAACCGAAGCTTAAAATTGATTCAATTACTCAAGGTCACAATCTTAAATATGAAAGAGAAATTGTGAACTATTTACCTCGGCATCATTTTTTATTAAATCGTATGGCCAATTTATGGAACGCTTTACCGGAAACTGTTGTTACTTCAAAAACTGTCAATCAATCTAAGAATAGATTAGATGAGTATAACGCCAAATCAAAGAAGTTTTATCTTAACATTTTTAATATATATTTGGATTAATGCTGTCAAAGTGTGATAAACCACACTCGCTGGATTTGTCCAGTTACAGTTTAACTACTAACTAACTAATTGAATCCTAAAATGGAGACTGCTTTAAATATTTTTAATATATAAATCTTATTTGGGATTGATTGATACCAACCAGTAATGCTACTCAGTGTGTACTGAAAATAAATTCTGTGTTTAAACTACTTTTGTTTTGCTAAATTACAAGTTAAACTTAATATCACAAAACTTTTTTTTTATTAATAGATTTTTATACTTCATGTGTAAACTTGGACACATTTGGATTGTATTTTTATACATTTTTAATACTTAAACTTTGATTTTACATAATTTATAACTTCTATATATTTTTTTTTCTAGACCTCATAATGCTCTGTATTAATTTTTAATTGAAAGATTTATGTAATATGTAATTTAATTAGATTATGTTTTTTTTTTTTTTTTTATTTCTTACCAAAACAACTGAAAGCACTTCATTTAAACTATCCTTCAATTCATCTTCATTTGTCAACTCCTGAAGAATTCCTTTAATATATTCAGAATAAACAGCCTCATCTACACCAAAACTTTTCAACTTATGATCGAGATAATCATCAAAAGTTTTATCACCCATTTGTGCTTTGTTCTATTAAAAAAATAATAATAAAAACTTATTTACTTATTAATTACATACTCTGTAATTACAAATAATATAACTACATACTCATTAATTACATATTAAATACATATTCTGAAATAAAACTTAAAAATAAAATTTGTTTTACTTTTTAAGATGTTCGAAATATTTAAAAAGTACAAATTTAAAAATCCTTATTTTACCAGTTAACTTTATTTTTAGTTATTAAATGTTCTTATTTTATTAAAACTAAACAAATATTTAGAATGTAATTCTACTAAAAATCTTTAAGCACATCTAGGTTAAAATTCTTTTAATTCTGCTAAATATAGCAGGAAAGTAAACAAAAATTATTATTCATCTTTTAATAATACTATCTATTATAATAATATTTGAAAAAAAAAGATAAATATAAAAAAAAAAAATTGAATATTTTAAAAATAATATAAAAAATTTTCAAAAAATATATATTCTTTTTTGGTAATGTTATTATAAAATACACAGGTATTTTATAATAACATTTTATAATAACATACTTTAAAGATTAAATATACATAGATTATACATAACTATACAAATATAAACATGTATTATTAAAATATTATGTGTGACTTAATTTTATAATTTAGTTAGGGTGTCAAACGAAATGTTAAAAACTGAGAAATGAGTAGTATTCCGATATTTACCAACACAAAACTGTTGGTAAATATAGGAATGTTTGTATTCTTTTTGAACTCTTTTTTAAAAGGTTTTTTTATAAAAATGATTATGGTTTCTGAAACTCCATTCGACCAAACTATTTTATGAAGTACAAGGATTTTCTATTTAAGAAATTCTAAATTTTTGCCATTATGTTTTTTTAATAATTTGATTGGATTTAATATAATAATTGAAATTTGTTAGCATTTGCCTTCATAAAATTTATTGGTGCTTAAACACATTTATTCAAGTTTCTTATAACTTTTTTCTCAAATAGACGTTATTTGTTAGCGACTATTTTATAGCACTAGTTTTAATTATATTAAATTTGCTGGTTATTTGAGCAGTATATTAAAATAACTTAAAGATGTTAATAATGTTATAAGTCAATGTTGCATTTATGTCTCGTTCTTTGAATGCAACAAATGCATAACAATGTAAGTAGAATTCTTCAGTTTCTGCACAGTAGAACCAACATTCAAATCTAAAATAATGCTAGTAACAGTTCTGTTTTCAATAAAATGTTGCAAACTATTAATTGAGTTACTCGAAAAACTAGATGCTTCAAATCCAGCTACACCATTAACAACTTATAACTTTCTGTTTCACATGAGGCACTACTCGAAATTGTTTCTGATTCTTTTAACTCTCCATCTAAATCTCTTTTAGTCTTGAAAAGAGCAAAAAAAAATAATAGACCAGATTTTTTTTATAATAACAGACAGACTTAATTGTTAACAGATTAACAAATCAGACTTTTTTATAACTGACTGAAATAACAGACTTTTTTTATATCTTAATAAAAATATAAAAAAAAAGAACATTTGCCCAGCATACCAATTCAATTTGAGACGCTGTTGGTGATATTTAAAAGGAAACACTGTTGTTTAAAAATAGAGGAACATATGTTGATTTTTTGCATAGAGCGTATAATTTTTTAATAACTATTAAGCTTACCATTGTAGAATCTGAACATGCTTTTTTTGCAGCCAGACTTTTACAACAAAAATAAAAAGTCGTCTGGGCTATGAAATTTTGGATGTGCTCTGCTTCCTTGAAACGTATTTTAAAAATAATCAAAAATTATTACATATATTATATCTATAAAAAGCAACTTTTTTTTATTCTTTATTAAAATTCTTTATAATTTAATAATTAAGAATATATAGTATTAAACAACTAAAAAACTTTCTTTTAATATAATAGTTTTTTCTAAATATATTTTGAATGTGTTTTAATAACAATTTTAATAAAATTTTACTCAAATATGTTAAAATTTTCAAGAAAAGGTATTTAAAAATCCCAGGATTAATTAGGGAATCCAGGACATAAGTAAATGTAATCCCAATATTTTCAGATTAAAAATATATAGCATGGGATTGCAGGCCTTGTTTTAAATAAAAAATGCTTAATGAAATAGCTTAACGTGATATTTGACGTCATAAAATACTCTTTATTTTATTTTTTTTAAGACATTAACTTTTTTTAATTACTGCAATAATATTATTTACCGCAAAACAAGTTAAATGTTATTTAGCGATTTTTATTATTACTATGAAGGAATGTTAATTTTCTTTTTTTTTTCAATATTAAATAATTAAATTTAATATTGCATTTAAAAAAATGCTTGATAATAACAAGTTTCTCGCTTTTCTCGACATTTGCATAAATGAATTAAAATATGTTAAATTTTTAAGTTTTTAAAATGATTATTTTTTAAATTTCTAATTGCGACTTTGCAACTACAAATGATTTTTTTTTTTTTTAAATTAGCGAGTAACAAATAAAAAAATGTTATTTTATTTACTTTACTTATTTAAAGTTTATTAGTTTATTATTTTATTATTAAAATTACATCGCTGAATATATCGTTCATTAAAAAATGATCGCTGCGATTTAACTTGCATTATAAAAAAAAGTTTAACTTACATTTTGTGCAAACTTTTGATGCAGCCATTTATTTATAACTTATTTTAGGAAGGAACACCGTAAAAAAATTCCAATAAAAATAAGCTGATTTTTTTTTTTAAGAATAAATAAAATTTAAAAATTGAACAATATTTAGTAATATTTTTAAATAGATTTGACAGTTAAGTTAAACACAAGCATTAACTTTAAGTTCAATAAACTTAAATATTTATTTTTTTTTATCAAAATTAAATTATATGTTTTTTAAATCTTAATTAAATTATAGGGAAAGTGGGAGCATAACTGTCCCCATAATGTTTGGATTAATGTTATATGAAAATAAAAACAAAATATGCTTTTTTAACAGTTCATTTCAATAACTACATCTTTAAATTGATGCAATTAAGAAAAAATATACATAATACATATATACATACTATGTGAATATGTAATATTAAATATAACATAATATATATGTATTACGTAATGTTTTTTAGTTTGATGCCCGCTAAGCATACCAATGAAATTCTACTCAAATTATATCTAATTATGTTGTATTTATTGATTGTACATACGTATGCTATGTCTGTTATATTAAAACATAGATATATATGGTAAGTATATTTTATGCTTGTATATGTATTTGCTTGTGACATCAGTGTATGTTATGATAATATATATAGATCAGATCTATACAAGGTCAACTATTGTAGTTAGTATACTCTATCTTTTAGTTAATTTGAGTAATTATGGGGAAAACAAAAAAAATCACCAAAAAAAAATGAGAAAATTAAAAAGAAACCTGCCTCTAGTTTTTATTTGAATTTGAACCAGAAAGTGATAAAAGTAAAGAGATTTCAGTTGTTCAACAGCAGCATGAAAAATGCTGTTGCAGCTGTTCAAAATAATTTAATGTCACAACGAGAAGCTGCAGTACAAATTAGTATTCCTCGGTCAACCCTTGGTAAATATCTTAAGGGAGACTCAGTTCTTAGCGTCAAACCCGGACCTAGTCCAATATTATCTACAAATTTAGAGTTAAAATTAGTTGAATATGAAGTAACAAGAGCTACCCTTGGATTTGGATTTGGAAAAAACAATTAAAAAAATATGATTCAGACTTAGCCATAAACACAATTTAAAGTTTAGACGTTCAATTCCTTCAGAAAAATGGTGGTGATCAATTATTCAGCGACATACAAATTTAATTTAGCAAAACCTGAAGGTACTTCATCAGTTCGTCATCAATGCATGTCTGTGCCAAAGGTGCTAAATACATCTATTTACTACATGAAGTTTTGAGGGATACACATGCCTTTAAAAGCCTTCGTTGATTTGGAATATGGATGAGTCTGGGCTACAGATGGATTTTGAACCTCCAAAAACAATTGATAAAAGAGGTACAAAACACCTTCAATCTTGCACATTTGGAAAATGTGAAACCATAACCATTATTGCTGCTGTAATTAATGTAAAATTAAAAGCTATAAAATAAGGCAAGGGTGTACCAAATTTGGTCGCTACAGCTATGAGATACAGTGTTGACAAGGAAAGTATAATCAAGCTGCTGATTGCTTAACACGTTCCTTAATTTCTGCTTTACTGATTCAAAAGTGATCAAAGAATGAAACTATTAAATCCATTTGTTCCTATATAAGCAATAATAAAATAAAATTTACAAGAGTTTCATAATGCTCTTTGCCACCCTGGTGTTGCAAGGATGAACAATTTTGTCCCAAGCCAGAATCTACCATACTCTAAAAGAAAGAAAAATTGTTGAAAACCAGTGTATTACCTGTTGTAAACTAAAATCTCAATTCAACACACTACCTATTGCTCACCTTATAAAAGCAACTTAAACATTTGAAGGCCTTAATAAAGATTTTAAAGACTTACAACATCAACTAAAAGTTGTTTAACTTTTACAGTTATTGATAAATAATCGGGATTCCCATTTGCCTTCATTTGCTCTAATACTTCTTTTTCAGTATTAAAATGCTTTAAGAATTTGTTCTCTATGTTTAGCATGCCTGCTTATATTCAATCTGACAGACACAGTGCTACAACCCTCGGAATTAGGGTCGACATTCAGCAATGCCAACCTAACTGCCAACCTGAAAGTGTTTAAGATCAGCAATTTTTTGCCGACCTCATTTCTATGTTTTACGGTAAGACCTTTGTATCAAATTTTTTTTTTGCCAACCTTTAAAAGATTGAGGTCACCAAATTATTGCCGCCCTCATTTTTCCTAATTCTGAGGGTTGACACTATAATATCAGAAGAAGTACATACTTTAATGCATACTCAAGGAAGTGCCACAAGCAGAATGTCGTCTTATAATAACAGAGGAAATAGACAAGTACTTAAATGAAATAGTTTAGAAATCAATAACATAGCTCTCAAATCAAAAAAGCTACCAGTCAAAAACTGGGAAACTATGTTACAGGATGTTTTACAATTAATTTCCTCTTTATTTTGTACTGCAATAAATGTAACACCACAAAAAAGGTTCTTTAATTTTCCTTTAGAATCTACAATCTCTTAAATTAAATAAAATTATAAATTAAATGAAATTGCTGAGAATAGTATTATAAACACAAAATATATCACACAACCCAATTAACCACCAACTCTTGATACAGAATCTAGTATTGAAACTCAACCACACATGCAAACTAGCCATCTGCCTAGAGGACCTCAACAAAACCCGAAAACAACCCAAAGGTACAGTTCTGAGGACGAATAATTTTATTGATTGGAAGAATGTTATAAATCATTTATAAATGTTATGAAATTATTATGACTTCATATCTCTCTTGAGAATTGTTGAGTTATTAATTATCAATTTAAAGATTTTATTGTATTAATTTAGCGACATATGATAGATAAAACCTCAATAGTTAAGTGGTGTTATTATATATATATATATATATATATATATATATATATATATATATATATATATATATATATATATATATATATATATATATATATATATATATATATATATATATATATATATATATATATATATATGTATGTATATGTATATATATATACATATATATACACACATATATATATACATGCATATATATATATATATATATATATATATATATATATATATATATATATATATATATATATATATATTAGTGATGTACCAATTATTTTGTATCAGCATCAGCATCGACTATATTGGCCATTTTTTGCACAATCAGAATCCGTATTGGCATCAGCCACTTTTACCGATTTTCCAACCGATGGCATTTTAATATTTTTATCCTGCATTTTTATAACAATTAAATAATAAAAAAACTAAACTTTATGCATTACTTAGAATTTTTTGGATAAATTTTTATTTTGACTTTGTTTACAGGCAAAAGCTTTAAAAGTAACCAATTTAGGCATTGTTATCTATATTTTTTTAATTCTTTTTTACTCCCAATAATGCTGCAAGCAACCACTGTCAAGTTTGGAATTGCTAGAAAAAAAGAGTAGAGTTATAGAGCAAGGAAATGATTGACAGAAGATTTAAAAAGTTGAAGGTTGTATTAGTCAGGAAAACATGAAGATTAAACAGAGTTCATAAGGGTTGAAGTGCTGAGAAATAAGCTAGACAAATAAATGTTTTAAGAGCGTAAGGAGACAGATACAGTAAAAGAATGAGACTTTGATAAATGACAAGTCAAGTAAGAATGAGTTTTGGTTGATGGAACTAGAAAAGCTCGTTTAAGCAGCAACTATTATAGTATTTATAAAAAAGAGAAGGAGATGTGACTTTACAACGATGGGAAAGAGGCTCAAGCTTAGCAGATAGATTAACTCTGTTTACAATGCATTTTTGGATCTTATCTTGAAGAGATAGAGCATCATTAGAAGAACAAGCCCAAATATGACAAAAGTATTTCATACAGGGACGAATAAGAAATTTGTAGAGGTAGAGAATGGAACCAGGAAAGAGAAAATGATGAGCACGATAAAGAGAAGCTAGCTTAGCATATGCTAATTTAGCAATCCATTGTATATATGGTTTCCATTAAAGGTCAGTAGTAAATGATAATCCAAAAAGACGCAAAGAAGAGGAATCAGTGAGAGGGTTGCCATTCATTAAAATAGGAGTATCAACAGTACTGCAATAGTTATTTGAGATAAATAACTGAGTTTTGTTGGAATTTAAATTTACAAGCCACTGTAAGCCCCAATCAGTTACAGAAGTGAGATCAGATACAAGATGGGCTATCTGTTCTAAACAAAAAGAGAAGAATTATTCTCAAGACATTAGTATTAAGTTGAGTTATCAGAAAAAAGAGCTACTTTAGATGTGAGGTTGTCAGGAAGATCATTAATGTAGATAAGTAATAAAACATGACCAAGGATAAAACCTTGAGGTACCCCAGAAGTTAATGAAAATAAAGAAGAGTGTTGAACTTTGAGGATGATTTTATTAAGGCGGTTAGAAAAAAAACAATTTGATAATCTCAAAAATATCCCAGATACACCATATAAAACAAGCTTATGGAGAAGACCAACATGTCAAACTTTGTCGAAAGCCTCAGATATGTCTAGAGCAATAGCCTCTAAGCCAAGTTATTTGACTAAATTTGGAATCACAAACCTTGATTAACAAAGATTAAAATAATTGTTTAGCTTTGATTTGGGTAATATTTGTTTACCAGTATCGATTTAAAGTTGTATGGGTTTATATTTTCAAATTTTTAATAATTAGTTAATTCATAGGTATCGATATCGATATTGACCTTTTCTCATCCAATGGCATCGGTATCAGCATCGGCTAAAAAAGTGATATTGGTACATCACTAATATTTATATATATTTATATATATATATATATATATATATATATATATATATATATATATATATAAATATGTATATATATATATATATATATATATATACATATACATATATATACACACACACACACATATATATATATATATATATATATATATATATATATATATATATATATATATATATATATATATATATATATATATATATATATATATATATATATATATGGAAATGAGAAAAATGTTACCTATTTCTGAGATTATAGATTATATTCTATGTTAGTTCGGCATCAGGTCAGCAGAAAAAATGTGAAGCAAAAGTTTGACCATGAAACATAGAAATGAGGTCAGCGATTTTTTGACAATCTCAATTTCTAGTTCAACAGTTAGGTCAGCATAGCTGAATGTCAACCCTAATTTCAAGGGCTGTATATATACTCTATATTATAAAAATAACTCTTAACAACTCTCTGTGTTCATAGCTGACAAAATCTAGTATACATGTGAAACCATCAACATAATGTTTTTTTTAATTTAGAACTTTTTGTTTATTTACTATTTTTTTATTTAATTTTATTTAATTGTTTTTTTGTTTTTGTTTTATAGACTGATTTATTTATGGATTGGCCAATCAGATTGTAAAACTGACTTGAATAGACAGAACATGCAGAGAGTATACATAAATCAACTGACTTGAATAGGTAAAACATGCAAGGAGTATAAACACATAGACTGACATAAATAGGTATAATATGCAAGATGTGTACATACATCAACTGACTTGAATAGGAAGAACATGTTGACAGTGTACATACATTGAATGATTGAAAGAGGTAGAACATGCAGGGGGTATACATACATTAATTAACTTAAATAGGTAGATCATGCAGGAAATGCACATGCACCAACTTAATTAATTAGGTAGAACATGCAATATATATATATATATATATATATATATATATATATATATATATATATATATATATATATATATATATATATATATATATATATACATATATATATACATATATATATATATACATATATATATATATATATATATATATATATATATATATATATATATATATATATATATATATATATATATATATATATATATATATATATATATATATATATATATATATATATCCTGTTGCGTCATTTATTTATTTCATTGCTACTGCATATCATAGCTTACCTACACGATCCATATAATAAGTAATATTTTTTGATGAAGAATTGAATTAAAGTCGTTTTCAACTAATATATACAACTTCCTATAATACAATTTGTAATAAATGATACGTATTACAACTACGCAAACCTAACCTTAAATAAACGTTCTTTATTCTTTGTTAATAAATAAAATACTAAGGTTCATAAAACACTCAATTTAGGTTTATTGTTAACGTAACTTACAAGTTGTAAAGACTTATTAAAAATATTGTAATCGTTAATTTGTTTAAATACATTTATATAAAAAATATATATAATTTAAAAGCATTTGCGGTGGAGCTTTTATATTTATAACAGGACGTCGGAACTACACACCATGAATCCTTTACGATTCTTTTTTAAAATGTCACTTAAATGACACTAATATATAACTTTTAAAACTAATAGCTCATAAAAGATCCTCTAATTATATTGTATATAGAATAAATAGGTTTTACTCATTGAGAATTTAAATCACGGTTATCATGGCGCCATAAGGAAAACATGTGAAGAGTTCAGGCAGTTACAGGTTATCAGTGCCGAGTTATTCAATTTTTAAGTTTCAAAAGCGTTTTTTAATAATAGTATGATGTGGCTCTTTAAAAAACGATTCAACATTAATATCTATTTGATTGAGACAATTTAAATTAATTTCTATTAAAGTTTATGAAATAAAAGTTTTATGACTCCATTTTTTTCCATTGCAAAACGAAGTCTTCGTTTTTGATATTTATTTAGAATAATAATTAAAATAATTTTTAACGTCATTATAGCTTTCTTTACTTTTGCCATCAAAAAATATGAGAGATCTTTAACGCCAAGTGGTTCGATGGTTCAAGCTCACAGTATGCAATGCAGAATCTGACTAGTCTGAGTGGACTTTATGAAAAATTATGCATTTCCGTCTGTCAGACCTGGATTTACATATAGGCAGACTAGGCACTGCCTAGAGCCCCAAGATTTCGGGGGCCCCCAAAATCTTGGGCGCCATCTCTTAAAAATTACTTTAGTAATTTTTTAGTGAAAACATACACCCCTTCCTCGTTTATTCATAATTTGTGAAATTAAAATGTAGGGTATAATCAAATTTTTAAATAGAAATCAACTTAATTAGTTGAAATTTGAATTCTATTTTTACAGAATAAACTAAAAACTAAGATTAGAAAATATTTTTTAAGTACAATTCAATAAATTAATGTAAGAATTTAATTAATGCATTATTTCATTCATTTCAGAAAAGAAATATAAGAATATTTGACTTTTCCTTTATTTTAGAAAAAACTAAAAAATGAAGAGAACTTATGAAAGCGGAGCTCAAAAACGTAAGAAAAAAGCTGAAAAAGATGAGGAAGTCAAAAAATTACCTAAGCTTGATCAGTTTTTCATTAAATTAAATGAAAATGCTGCTGGATTGGAAACAAATAATTTGTCAGCAATCACTGAAACATCAACTCTAGCTTGTTGTGAATCATCTCCAATAAGTGCAATAACTTGATGATCTGAGTGCTCAAATTAACAGACAAAGTGATGCCGGACTATGGGCTGATTTATCAAAGGAGGATGTTGAAATCTGGATTCGAAAGGGGCCTGAAGTCTGTCAGAATATAAATGACATATTTCTGGCTTCAAAAACGTCGTATGCAGAAAACGATCGCTATTGCTCAAAAAACCTTTTCACTAGCAAAAAAGCCAATGGTGAAGAATTTAAACGAGAATGGTTAATATACTCACCGTTTTGCCGTGTGCTGGACATTAATTGAATTTAGTGGGTTCATCTGGTGTTGGTTGTTGTATAGAGTCAGTTAATTTTTTCGTAATAGTTCAACAAATATATAACTTTTTTTCGTCATCAACCAAATGATGGGCTGTTCTAGAGAAATTTTCAGATTGGTCTGTTTAATCTTTGCCTAAAACCCGATGGACCGCTCGTGCAAAATCTATGAATACAATATATCGTAACTACGAAGACATAGAAGATTCTTTGAATGAAATCGCGGAAGATTCAAGTTTTGACTCGAATTCGAGAGCGGAGGCACATAATCTGATTGGAAAGATGGACGAATTTGAATTTGCATTACAGACAGTTTTTTGGTCAATAAACACCGTCCTGAGTTGAATAAACTTAGTTTCAAAATGTCTACAAGATTCAAAAATTACCCTAGACACTTGTTCGAATTTATACTCATCTCTTGGCGATTTTTTTTAATAAATTAGTTGGCGATTATAATGTCATTGAAGCAGAAGCTAAAAAGTTGTTTCCAGACACCGACTACACAATTAAAGGGCAACAAACAAACAAAAGATTTTCAGATGAATCTCAAACACCACAAACCAAATTGACTCCTAAAGAAGCATTTCAAACAAATATATTTGAGAAAAGTTTGAAAATACTCAGTGTAAATTTAAAGGAACGGGCTAAAGCTTATCAGAATATTTTCGCACTATTTAGATTTTTGACAAATTTAAACATATCATATGAGGATTTAAAAACTAACGTCCAAAAAATGATGGAGCAATACAGTTAAGATATCGTTGAAGCTTTGTATAATGAATTAATTCATTTACATAATTATATTATGTAAATGAATTAATTCATTATACATTATATAATTATGTAATATATTATAAGTTAACCTGCAAAAGTGAAGATTTACCTATAAGTCATTTATCATTATATAAAACTATTAAAAAAAAAATGGAAATTGTGTTTCCGAATTCCGAAACAATTTTAAGAATCTATTTATGTTTGATGCTCACTAACTGTTCTGGAGAACAAAGTTTTTCAAAATTAAGACTTACGAAAAATTATTTAAGATCAACTATGATACAAAATACATTAAATAATTTTTGATTGCTATCAAGTAATGTAGATTTGATGAAAAAAATTGATTTCGACAAATTGATTGAAGAATTTGCTAAGGAAAAGTGTAGAAAAAAGTTAATGTAAAATTTGAAAATAAAACATATTTTCACATGCCGAAGTCCTTTTTTTTAAATTTGATTGAGTGTCAATATTTGAAGTTGCTTCTAAAAATACATTCTTAATTCTTGAATAAAGGATTAATATATCATTTTAGAGGCTCCAAAATTTGAATCTGCCTAGGGTCCCAAATGGGGTAAATCCGGGCCTGGCTATGATAATAAATAGAAATAAACAGAAGATTGCTATTTATAAGTGCTAAATCAGTTATTTATTAAAATTTATTTTAGAATTAATGTTAAGATAAATAATTCAGTCATATGTTACCGTTAAATTTTCACTATTTGAGCGCATTTGTCTAAATTTCACAAATAACTTTTTTCGAATAGCAAAGGTCTCACGAGAAAAGTCTTTGTTAATGAAGGAATTCCCGCTTTTCAATTGATGAAATTGTTCCAAGATCCTTATTTTTTCTCGGTAATAATAAGTAATACCACAGAGATACCAAGTTAGTATTTCTGTGGTTTAAGTACTTTAGTCCTCGGTCGCACATCGATATCATTGAGTCCAAGTTTTTGCCAAAAGAATGTGTGAGCTTTTTCTTTAGTATCCTCAATGATTCTTGCCCATTTTCTTCACTTCCATCTATTCGTATCTTATTTCTTCTTGATCTATCTTAAGGGGATTCGTTATTTTTCTTTTTAAAATTTTTTTATATTGGTTTTTTCGAATATTTTGTTTAGTTGCTTATTGTTGCTATGAATTTTTTTGTCAACTAACTCTTCATTGTAGTTTAAACTTCCCTTAATATCTTCCAACTCCTTTGTAAGTTCTTTGATTTTGTTTGCATAGGGTTTGGGAAAACCCCGTCTTTTTAAACCCGACGAGCCCGGGTCGAGCCTACAAATATTTATCGAGTCTGGGTTTGGGTCCGGGTCTAATACATCTTTTTAACTTGCAATTTGAACAGGATGAAAGGATTTTTCGTTCTCACGCCGATTTAATAAAATGTATTTGATATATGTTACGGTAAATAAAATGAATTTTAGCCGACTTCAACGTCTAACTTGACTATATTATTCTATACTTTTATTACGATGTTAAACTACCAAAAAAAACTTGATAATACCTTTTAAAAATATTGCGTTAGTATTTAAAAATATTGCGTTAGTATTTAAAAATATTGCGTTAGTTTTTAAAAATATTGCGTTGGTTTTTAAAAATATAATTTGTAATAAAATGCATGTAAATATACTAGCAAAAACAAACTCAACTAAATTAAAATACGTATAAGAGTATAATACATACCAGAGCAACTATTTTTCACTTAAAAAAATAAATTTTTAAAAAAACTAATGCCCTCATTGAATTGGCCGATAATCTAGAACGAATTCTTGTACTCTAGAACGAGTTCTTGTTAGATGCTACAGAAAACGTTCGGTCGGAATTTGTTGATGTTGGTTTTTTGTCATTAACGCTTGATACAGTTTTTCTAAATATGCAGTTCTTTTTTTAGTTTTTAAAAACAATAAAAAAAAACTTTTAATATCAGCAAATTTATCTCCACAACTTGGCAAAATTGGACATTTCGTACCTTCTAATATTTTATGTAGTTCTTCTTCCAATGCTTGTGCGTTTCCTGTAGTATTTCCGCTATTTTCAGTTGAATGTTTCTGTTCATAATGTATGTTTTGCTGTTGCTCATCCCTATCAAATAATCTTTTCAGTAAATCTATTGTAAATGTTTGTATTTTCTTTGAAGGCATTGAACCATTTACAAGAGAATCTAATAGCTCTTCTAATTCTTGGTTTTTACGGGTATTTATTCGAGTTTTCATCGTCATTAATAGCTCTCTACGTAAATTACCATTGGATTCTTTTAATTTTCTAAACATAAAATCAATAGCTAATCAGGCTGTTGCAAGATAAGCATCGCCTCTGCTTGAGAGCTTCAACAGTTAATTTAATAGGCTTTAGCGTATTTTCCAATTTATGTAATAATTCAATATTATTTCTTTCTATTAAATGTACACTTCCAATATCTTAAAGAGCTTCTTTAATGGTAAAAAATAATTTTAAAAATCTAGATACCATTTGGAGCAACGATTTTCAACGAGTTCTTACGTCTAACACTAGCTGAAATTCATTTCCTAAAACTATTTTGATCTTTTTTTGCAAAATATTATTTCGAA